TATGTATACAGGTACCTACAACCTTAAACCCAGCCTTTGCACTGTCCGCGTCCCTAATTTGTCTAATTAGCCATTACATCGCTGATATGGCTTGTGTGATTGCTCAGCTTACTATTTGCACGCTTAGAATTAAACTTACCTCGTCTTTCATATAGCCCGCTACTAATCCTATACGTTGATCACTGTCCACAATGCGCCCATCGATTAAATGCCTCGTTTTATATTCCAATACGCCAGTGTCGTTTGACAGGCAATGTATTATCTTTGGTGATCGTATGATTCGTGCCATCGCTACAAGCACCACATCGTTGCCACTGATGCCGTGCATCGCTGCCTGTTGTATGACGTCGTGCTGCATCATATGCAGACCGGCGATGTCTCCATTGTTGCGCGTCCGCCGTATTAACTTCGATACAATAGGGAATGTGCCGGCGGAGCAGGAGTAGTCGCTCCGTCGAAAGCAACCGTCAAATTTCACTAACTCGTACTTACGAGTCGCCTCTGACCGCGTACCCGCGCGCGCTAATCGTATTGCGAAAGTACGTCGATCGTTACGCAAGCGTCGATCAATGTCGCCCAAGTAGGCATCTGTGTGTTGCTGCGGGCTGTTGCTACGACAATGGGACTGCTCAGACGCCTGATGTTGGTGATAGTCCTCCGCTGAGCATTCGGTTTCTAAAATTTCGTCTGCCTGATTGCCTGTTGGTGGCGGGTGATGTAGTTGATATTCATTACTGCTGCGGAATAACGCTTCCATATCACGTGGTATTAGCTGCTGTAACAGCCGCTCATGATCGTCTGGATGTGTAATGCTCAGTATGTTCTGTCCGTAGAGATCAGATTGACAATGGCCGAGTAGTTGCTCCACGCTTGTGGATATGACAACGATTTGGCCATGACAGGTTAATGTTATAAAAAAACTGTCAAGCAAGTGTGTGAGCGCATCTGTGAAATGTGGTTCATCGATGAGCGCTGGTACGTGGCCACCATTTTGCCTCCTCGGCGCCGACTTGCCAAATACATATTGGAGCCGTAAACCGTGCGTGGCGCGACGCAAAACACCGGTCTTGTCTAGCCGTCGAGTGGCATCCGCAACGTGCGGCACCATGGAGGCCAGCTCCTGTATACTTGCATTCAATTTGTCTCTGCGATGCTTCTCGGCTAAATTGCGAGCCTCCCGGCTGCTGGGGGTATTGCCACTCGCCCCACCATCCGAAACGATTTCCGCCTCTGCTGATGCCATATTTGTGGGCATGCTAGACATGCTAGACATAGCCTTTATTCACCTGTTAATTACTTGATTTATTCTTTATGCGTTTTGTTTTCCTGTTTTTTAGTTATGGCTGCTGGAAGTCACACGCCATTCCTTCGCACTTTGTCTTACGCTGTTCTAAGCAATGTTCGTCGTCTTTTTTCTCAAGGTCTCACTTCTATGGCTCTGGCTCCGCCGTCTTTCCGCAGAGCCCCCTATACAATCTTTTTCGTTGTTTTCTTCTTAGCTTTTCTTTTTTTCTACTTGGTTGCGTGTCGTTCTCACTTTTTCTACGTACTTCTCGCCAGCATGTTAATCAGTCACTACTATTAACTACTCAACTATTATTAGCCACACACAGAATCTTGATAATAGTTTTCACTGATTTTTTCACAAATTTGAGCCACTTTTCGCTTTTGCACTTCCACTTTTATCAATCACCCGAAATGGAAATTTTTTTGTTTTGTTATGCCTTCTTCTTGTTATAACAAAGTTGCGGTTGCAGTAGAAATGCAAATATCGGCATACTAGCCAAATGTAGGGAGACCCACATTAAAAATATAATGGTGGACATGTTTTGATGAAGGATTTAATAGCAAATTAAAACTATTCCTTATAACAAAGATAGAGAGTAGGTAATCAGTAAAAAATCGGTAAAAAAAAATAGTTAAAACAATCATACTTCACCGTAGTTTTGGGTGCAGTTCAATAATTATATTAATTTGCAATCACCCTGTTTTGTTGATGTTACGTTTTCTGCTATTAGTTTGTATCAGCAACTTTCTTACGATTTTCCAAAATTGCAATTTTCTTCGAAAGTGCAATGAGCAAAAAAATTTGTGGAAAATGATTCATTTTAGCAGTAAAAACTGAGTTTTGACAGCTAAAATAGCTTAGCGCAATGTCGCGACCATCGCTCACATCTGCCGAGCCCAGTTCGCCCGTGCAAAAAGTATGGAAGCCAGAATGTAAGCAATTAAATTACTAGTCCCTGACCACATCTAATATTCTTCTTTGTTAGTGTATAAAATACAATTAGAAGCGCCTACGCCCAAACCCTTCCGCCGTACTCGTCCTTTGCCTTCGAATAATATCAACAATGAACCGCATTGTTATGGCACAGAATATTATGGTGTAATGGGCCATCTTGACGCAGAGCAGCTCTTGTCCAATAAGCCAGATGGCACATATCTACTGCGTCGAAGTCCAAATGCTGTA